CTCTCTCTCTCTCTCTCTCTCTCTCTCTCTCTCTCTCTCTCTCTCTCTCTCTCTCTACTTTTGTCGTGTACCGGTGTATGTTGCAACACTTGTTATATCTCTTCTTTTTCCCTGTCTAATTTCTGTTCATACATCCTCGACATTTCCTTTGCCGAATAAAACAATTCCACTTTCAACACTGCATCGATTATATTCCGTATGATACGTAATCGATCACGCAGACGATTGATTAGACGATCCTGTTAAGTAATCGTATCGTCGTGCAACCACGCCATACTTTTCGACGTCTGTTCCGTTACTTTGTTAATTCGACAATACCGATAGTGCCAATAAACAAGCAGTCGATCAATCGCAGAGTAGCGAATCGTGACGCGGAAGAGATGGATAATCATGGATTAGAAAACGTGCAAGATCGTGACATTCGAAGACTCTCTTCGTTAACCACGAGACGCTAGTACTAGTCGCGAGTAAATATCGATCGAAATAGTTCAACATTATGAACGATGAAAAGGATAAAACGAATTGCCAGAATGAATTTTTCTCCAAATCGATGTCTGCATTTCTAATACTATCGTTTCAATACTGTTCGACAAACGGAACATCGATCGTTGGATTTAATTACCAGATCGATTAGGAAACCGGGAGTACTAGTAATAGCAAGCGGAAGAAAAAAGCGAGTAATTGGCATATTCGGTAACATCTTTATGCCTTGACACTGTCAAACAGCATGACGCTTTCTGCGTGAACCTCGGAACTTTCATGCTTTCCATCTTTATATTTCACTCGTTCGCAGTAAAGATAATTTCAAGCGTTATCACCAACTGTTATCACTAACACCAGCACACCGGCATTGACACTCGTCGGCAATGATACGGTCGTTAACCGTACCGCCGACGCCACCGCCGTTGTTTTCGTCACAATTGTCGTTAGCGTTAGCGTTGCGTCGTTGCTTTCGTCATTTCCATCATTTTATTTTTCCTAACGTTCAGTGTTTCGTTCGTTGTGCGCAAGCGAACGCTCGTTTCAGGTAACTCCACCACTTATCGATCTCGGACGGCGAACGTGGGCGCACTTCTAAACGATACAATGCACCGCCATGGTTCCCGTTGTAACTCGTACTTTCACCGTAAATTACGCACACATACTTGCATATCGATACATACGTACAGTTTGATATTTAGAAACGTTAATCGAACGAATTATCAAATACGAAGGAGCAATTTAACCACTAGATGACATTTCCTTCGTAAATCACAAATGCAAAGATAATAAAATAAAACGATATTACGTTATCGAATTAACTCGACATATATATACTTGAGGTATTTATTCAAATTGGCCAACAGCGTTAGAATTCCGACACGTCTATGATAACTAGTGTAACGGCTCAACAGTTTGAATCGTATGCACCTCAACTTCTCGTTCGAAACGAACGCCGAGGTAAGCTGTCATCGAACAGTTTTGACTTGGAGAGGACACCACTGCACCACCTTGCGGTGGAGTAGGTCACTATAGCGCATCACCGCCGCGCATTGCGTCACGAATTTCAATTTATGCCGCGCGCAACAGCCCAAGAGTAACGAAAGGAGAATTATTAATGACAACAGATAAACATACAATTGAATACGTGTATTGATTTATTATAAACCGATTCTTCGTCGCTCATTTTTCACGTAACACGCGTCATACGTTGTTTGCACATAATTCATCTTTCATCAATTACGCAACAAACAAGATCAAACAAATAAAGATTTAAGGATTACAAATTTCACGAGATATAATGTTAAAAGAGAACGGTATGATATATTTGACAACAATCGATACTAAACAAAGATAACGATATGTGTCGATAAAGTCGACGTTTGCTATCAAAAACGAAAGTGTCCGAATACAGAGAATAGGTTTATACTTGGCATTTCGTTAACCTAGGATAGCTTCACATATCGATTATTCTAGCTAAACGACTTAACTACGATTAGAAATACTTTGGAAAAGGTAGGTATGAACCTAAAGCTTTAGTTTTTGAAAGTTTTAGTCGATTCATAATTCGTACGTATACACATACACACACGCACACACACACACGCACACACACGCACGCACGCACACGTGTGGGCTATATTTTCATGTACTTCTTTATTCCAATCACAGTGGGAAATTAACAAATTACTCGATTTCTGTGACGAATTTATCAATTTTCATAATTGCATCGTAAAAGCGCAACCTTCGAGAACTTTCTAATATAATTTTCGATAATAATTTCTTCTCAATTAATTGGTTATTAATAGTTATTTGACCGAGTGTTGGAAATGTTGTCGAAGATCGTAATGGTTTATCATTAATAACTATTTTCCATCCATTTAATTTATGAATTACAAGCACGCATTAGAAAAACAATGCTCATGCGTATCTTCTTATATCACTTTGGATCACATTTTACCCGACGATTATGCTTGTCGTTGTTATCAAATCACGCTCGCCTTCAAATAATTATTAATAACTAACTAATTCGCACCATATTGTAGAGACTTGGGTGGTGGTAAATAATACTATTTATTAGTAATAAAATAATAATACAATATGTGGCGACGATTAAGCCTACGAATATAGATAGATCAACTACAACTTAAGATGACAACTCGACTTAACAACACAATTACAACTTAACCCGTTACAACTAAAATACAACTCTCTTCCAATCTCTCTTCCTAAGAAATGTCTGCTTCACGCCCATGCACCCTTATTTAAAACCCAAACACTTGGACACATTCCTAGAGACACTCTTCACTTGCAACCGATACTTCCATAAACATCCCGTCCACACGATCCTAGCGCACGGTCCTTCGTCCTTCCGCACGCACACCAGATAATACGCTCGAGCCAAACCCAAGCTTATTATTCTGCGATAGCACAATATTATGTACGAAAATTACATAAGAATGTTGCTCAAAATTTCAGCTTCACGATGCAAACACAAAAGGACACAAATTAAGTACAGAAACTTCGAAATTTGTGATTTTTCACTGTTACATCCCCTTTATCCTTTTCTAACCGCTTGCTATCCTTGTCTATCATGTAAAAAGGTTTAGCCTCATGCATTCCGTGTTCCTGCTACTATATTCAGCTTTCGCTCCAAAATTATAGATGGCGCTGATTAATAGCAGTAGAAGAATCGAAAACAATAAAGTTTTAAAAAAGGGAAAACAAAACAATAAAGCGACATAAATAAGTACAACACATTTTCCTCCCTTCTCTTTATTCCGTTAACAGTCTGACGAACATGAAGTCACAGATGAAGGCGAGTGATTTTGTTCCTCGTAAAAAGAAAATGAAACTACGATGGTTATATGCTTATATACTTTTTATTCCCTTTGAAAGTTTCATATATACACGATAATTGTTAACGACATAATTCTTCGGTTCTTTTCTTGTAACTTTCATTTTATTTTTTATCCTTTATTTCATTGTTCTGAAAATATAAATATATGACAGCTAATAAAAATTCCTACCTTTTATAACATAGTTATAACGTAAACAATAAATTAACTCTTTCTCTTTCTTTATAACTTCTAATTCTTCTTGAGCTCTTACTGCGTCGTCACATTCCCCCCAATAGCTACTGCAGTCTTCCGTTCTTCTTTTATTTGCAAGTCCAAATGGTTCAACAGTTGGTTGTGAGCTTAATTTTGGATCAGTTAAATGATCATGAGCTGATTTGCCCTTACCATTAAACTTTTTATTTAATATCACACATTCTTCATCATCTTCCTTTGCTTTTTTACCAAATGATAAAAGATTCAAATCTCTGTAACAAAATTTTTCGTTGCAAAGAACAATACTATAACGACTAAATTCTGCAAACATATATGATTTTTACTTTACTGCTGCTGTTTTAGTTTTTGAACTGTCCTTTACTTCTTCACCTTCCTGTACTATTATTCTCGGTATAATATCAGAAAATGGATTGTTCAATATTTAAGTTTTTATCAATCTTGAAGGATAAAGTGGTCTATCATTCTAGAAAAAAGAGGAAATATATTTATATATGTTATATATTCTTGCAAACATTAAATTTACCTCATCTAAAGTGCTTCTTCGAGTTTAACTATAACTATATATAGATTGTCTAGTAACTCTACCAAAGATTGTATGCTTATTCTACAGGTCTAGTGTAGAACTCACAGTAAAGAAAAATTGGGAACCATTGTCATCTTTTCCGGCATTAGCCACAGCAATTAAATCTCGTGGACAAAAACGTAATCGTGTATGAAATTCCTCCTAAAACATATATATCCAATAATTATTTTTCGATAAAAAAGGAATTCATATTATTTTTAAATATAGTCTCACTTTTAATGGTTCTCCATATATTTTACCACCTTCTCCTGTACCCGTGGAATCACCACCTTGTGCTTTATGAATCCTTTGATAATTCTATGAAAGATAGTGTCACCCTAATAACCTTCCATAGATAACTGTATGAAATTTCTACATGCCTTTGGAGTTTCTTTTGCCCATAATTCTAACTCACAACTCAACATCACCAACAGTTGTTTTCATTACAACCTAGTTCTAAGAAATACATTAGTTTGATTAAT